TCTCTCCTATCCCCCTTTCTCTCTCTCTCTCCCTCTCCTTTTCTCTCTGTCTCTCTCTCTCTCTCTCTCTCTCCCTCTCTATCTTTCTTCCGTCGATGGATCTTATGGTGAACATTCGAGATCTATACGATCGATGGTGTTTTATTGGTGAAAGTGATCGTTCGCTTAGAGGAGAAGAAAAAGAAGAGGAAAAAAAGAGAAAGTTAATTGAATGATCTCGATGGACTAAAGAAGATAAGAAGGAAGAAAGAAGATAGAGGAAAAAGGAAAGAAAATTAAAGAAAAAAAAAAAAAAAAAGAGGAATAAAAAAGGACCAAGTAATAATGTGTTGTTTCCAAATAAAAAAAAAGAAAAAAAGAAATATACGTTCGATCAAGTGTACTCTCGACTATTATTCGTTTCAATGATACTAATCATTTTTTTTTAACTGACTTGAATAATTTCAATTATTATTCCGAACTTATTATATCCGCGCCGCATTGTGTTATCGTCATTGCGGTGAACGGCGCGAAAAAGTGCGCGAATAAACTTCCTTCGATCGAGTTTCGGTACTTCAAAAAAAAAAAAAAAAAAAAAAAAAAAACCCAAAAAACAAAAAAACAAAGAAGAAGCCCGTGTTAATCCTCATCCACGAGTTTTACGAACTAAAAAAAAAAAAAAAAGAAAAAAAAACAGAAAAGAATTGAGGGAAAAAAAATAATTAAAATAATAAACTCAATTCTCCGGAGGATCTTTCATGTGACCGTATAGAATTATACATATTCTATTGCCTACGATCAAGAGGAAGCAACCCACCGTTCCCGCTTATTTTTTCTCTCCTCTTTTTTTGGTAGGTACTACACGATCGTGTGAGAATTCAATTTATGGAAATCGATGGTTCGTTAACGGTAACGATACTCTTTCTATTTGTGTTCCATCGTGAAAATTTCTCTAGATACGCCCGTATATAACCGAGACAGATAGAGATATTGAATCGTTGAATTTTCGAACTATATATGTATTTATGTCACATAGAGATATGTATACAGATATCTATGTCCTACTACTATGTGTGAATACATATGAATGCGACGTTCATATATATATATATATATATATTAGAACATACAGTCACGTAATAGATGTATAGTGTATAATAACTCTTACGCGTTAACGTTTAAAATATTAAATCCGTTTTTGATCGTTTCTCACTCGTAAACTCCGATCGATATAATTGCGAGATGAAAAGGATTTTCCATTTATTCGATTATATATACTACGAGGTATTTTTTTGATCTGTTTTTTTTTCTTTTTTCTTTTTTTTTTTTTTTTTTTTTCTTTTTCTTTTTTTCTCTCTTTTCGTAGCTAGAAAGAAGACATGTAATATATCGTTAATGGGCCACGTTTCATTATTCCTTTCTTTTTTTTTTTTGTTTGTTTGTCTTTTTTTCTTTCCGATCAGAAAAAATAAATAAATAAAAAAAAAAAAAAGAAGGAAAGAAAGAAAGAAATTACAAGACTATTGAATATTTCATCGAGACGTTTAAATTACGTGCAAACGACCTATGGCGTTATATTCTAACATAGTACAATATTTAAATGAGCCGAAATCGGATCACTGTTATTAGGTAAAATCATGACATGTTATTAGAATTTAGGGATAGCCTACGTCGTTGGATGTTACCGAACGGACCATCCACCGGTAGTCGGTCATTCATTCTATTCCTCGACGTATAATTTCGTCAATTGCCCTTTCATCGATCCATCTACGAATTACTTAGACGATTTCGAGATATATCGAGATGGGTATCGCGTGGATGTTATCGTATCTAGTGTTTATCTTATCGGGGAATTATTATTTTCTTCCTTTTTTTTTTTTTTGGTGTGTGTTCTTATCCTTCTTTTCTTTTCCTTTTCTATTACGCGTATCTACTCATTCAAGTCTCTTTTTTATTTTTTTTTTTCTTTCTTTCTTCTTCTTTTTTTTTTTTCTTTTTTCTTTTTTTATTTAATCGTTAGACACGCGTTAGATATACCCGCGTAAACTTTTTTTTTTTTATTTAGTTATGTCCTTTCCCCATCCTCCCCTACCTCTACCCTCGACAATCTTCCCTAAGATACATTCGTTTTCCCTTCGTTTTCATTTCCTTTTTTTTTTTTTGTGATTTTCTATCGGTTTTTTTTGTTTTTTTTTTGTTTTTTTTTTGTTTTTTTTTTTTTTTTGTTTGGAATGATACAAGAATGAAGACAGGAAAAATAAATATTTTAACTGCTGTAGTTAAATAGAATTATAGCAGGAATGGGTAAAACTTTATTTAGAGTATTTTTATCTTTGACGTTGATGATAAAAGACAGTTACGAGCACTTAAAAAAAGGAAAGAGAGAGAGAGAGAGAGAGAGACAGAGAATGTGATTCGCAATTGGTTCACCGCAATGGGCTCATGCCTAATTAACTTTTCGATATACAGATAAAATGGAAGAGAAATCGTACACAATCGATATATAGATTCGTTCATAAGAAGAATTGAATAATTAGAATAGTACGAATACTTCTTAATTGCATTTAGCTAAGATTATTCTATTGACAAAGGTGAAATAAATTATTCGTAAAAATGTTTATTTTCTTACCTATCGAGTTTGTATTTTTCTTGTGATTTTCTTCAAATGCAGCAATAAATTTTCAACAGTTTTTGTTCTTTTTTTTCTGTTCTTTTTCGTTTCCTGATTTTTTTTTCTTTTTTTTTTATTTTTTTTTTTTTTTTTTGATCGAGAAAATTACTCAACCATTTTCTCATTGGTTACGTAAAATATAACGAAGTCACGAAATAGAGCCAGTAATAACTGCTGTTAAGCGAAACTGTCCATTAATATTAACGTCAAACTTAGCTATTAACGAAATGCAATTAATCGACTATAAATTTACATCTTCCTGCATTACGAATGATTCTCTTACGATGTTAGTTTCTTTTGTTCTCTTCTTTCTGTTTTTTTCTTTTTTTTCCTTTTTTTTTTTTTCGTTTTAAAATATCAAAGTCAACTCGCGTATAGTTATTCTCTAGGATCCACGAATTTTACTCGAAACGAAAAATTTCATTTTATGTTGCGTGATATTATGAGAAAGAATACACAACGGATTTCTCTCTCTCTCTCTCTCTCTCTCCTCTCTCTTTATTTCTATCTCTCTCTTTCTCTCTCTCTCTTTTTCTCTAACAACGTCGACTTTTCTTCTTTGTAATAATGATACCATTGTATTACTGGATGCTTGAATCGTGACGTGAAAAGCAATTTTCAGAAGAAAAGTTCCTTCGTCGACGTATGACTAAAATAAAGCTGTACGAGAGAGAGAGAGAGAGAGAGAGAGAGAGAGAGAGAGAGAGAGAGAGAGAGAGAGAGAGAGAGAGAGAGAGAGGGGCATATGTATTACATGTTATAATTCTTTTTTGAAAATTTTCAACGTCAAAACCAATAAATATTTTTTTTATCGAATCTATGTAATAATACAAATAGGCGTATGGTAAAGTAATAAAGAATTTCAAACGTTTCAGTTGAAAAACAATTATCGATGCATAGAATCCATTGTAGTTTTGAATATTATATATCGATATATATATATATATATATATCGATTCATAGCTTTTAAAAAAGATCAATGAAAATAAAAATACATCGAGATAAATATTTTGATTTCCTCTAATTAAGATTGATCGTTCTATTAATTTGTAACTTATACTGGACGCACATACATACATATACATACACACATACACACGAATACACATACGCATACACCCGGACACATACACACAGAAGCGCGCGCACGCGCGCATACAATGAGTTAGCACTTTATTTCAATTTTATTACTAAACGTATCAATTGATTTATATCTAACGTATCGGTAGGTACGCACGAGAGATTAGCTGCATCGCGTTTGCTTATCAAATATCCAATTTCGATTCGGATATTATCGCTGATTCATCGACATCCTATTGCTCTACCTAACGCTTGCTGTCGAAACGTGTTAGTTCCATTATCCATGTACTCCCTGAATATTGTTTGCTTATTTATCCGTTTTGAGATTAGCTGTAGCGGTTAGGATACTATAGTTCTAACGTTTATTCCTTCTAATTGTTTCACGCAATTTCGACGTTACGTTATCAATAATATTACTTTTTGTCATTAATTTTTTTTTGATAATGCATCGTTGCGTGATTGAAAAAAGAAGAAAGAGAGAGAGAGAGAGAGAGAAAAAAAAATAAATAAGAAAAAAGAAAGAGAAAAAAATCAACAATTTAAGATTATAAATAATGCGATAGATCAAGAGATTCTAATAATTTCAATTAGGTTCGTTGCAAAAAATAGAAAAAAAAAAAAAAGAAAAAAGAGAGAGCGGCAAAAATGAACGAAACAAAATCATTGAGAAGATAGAAATAATTCAATTAGATTAATATACGATCGATGATTTCTCGTGATATAACGCTAATGAACGGCAATTTGTCAATATATCTTATAACCCTAATTTCGGCAAATAGTATATATATATATATACGTTAGGGAAACGATTATACGGTGCAAATGTGCATTTCGTTCTAGATCTAGCCCGTTGTTCGATAATTACGTCGTAGAAGTTGAAAGTTCCGGAAGCCGAGAAACCTTCGAGAATGTTTCTTCTTGGTTTGCTCGTTGATAATTAAGCGAAAGTTTACGTCAGGCTAACGAAGTACCTACGTTTTCACGATGCAAGAGGGCATTTCTTAGCCTTTACGTGAGAAAACGATATAGAAGTAACGAAAGGGATGGGGTAGGAGGGATGAAGAAGAAGAAAGAAGAGTAAGAGGAGGGAGGAATTGTTAAAACGAAGAAGATATAAAATAAAGAAAGGTCGTAAGGAGGGTGAGGAGGAGGATAAAGGGAAAGAGGAAGAGGACCGACTTGCGAAAGTTGCACGTCCCAAGCGTTTAATTCGATGGGACGAGAATTAGTAATGTACCTTTGATAAAGTCACTTCTCTTCATCCCTCTAACTCTCCCCCCTCTCTCTCTCTCTCATTCCCTAAGGTCTTGCAAAGCGCGGGATCGCCGGTTCGGAGCTTTGGCCGCGAGGCAAAGAAGCTTAATTATTCAAAGACGAGGACAATTCCGTTATGCGAAGACCCACTCTTCCGGTCTCGACCCAGGTATTTCATTTTACGAGAGGTTGCCGCGAAGGAAACGAGGGGTGTAAGTGGGGAAAGGAGACGAGGTCTCTCTCTCTCTCTCTCTCTGTCTCTCTCTCTGTCTCTCTGTCTCTGTCTCTCTCTATAATCCTTATCAGGTGTATTACCCGTAATCTTGCCTGTTAAATGGGAGCTTTAGTCAGGATTTTCCGCATTAACACGAACTCTGTCCTGAGTATTCCCGTTGAATTGCCTCTATAACATGTAACTTTCTATATTCGGGCCACGTTACGATCGATTAGATTTGAAAAAAAAAAAAAAAGAAAAAAAAAAACAAAGAATGTTTTGAATTATTATTTCACTTTTGTTTATAGAATATCGTTTGAAATCACGAAATAAATTTTCACAAAATGAGATGTCGAATCGTATCAAATACTTCCGTTGTATCGTTCGTACATCGATGCTAGCTTATTGATCGTTTAATTATCCCGTATTATCTTTACACTCAATCGAATTCGTTTAGATCGCTATCATACGATTTATCGTTCATTCGTTCGTTTTCGATGTTTTCTGGTGTTTTTTCTTTTTTTCCTTTCTTTCTTTCTTCCTTTTTTCTTTTTTTTTTTTTTTTTTTTTTTTTTTTGCTAAATCACGCGATATCGATCATCACGCATTCGATCACGAATCGTATTAAGATCTACCGATACAATATTAAATCTTATTATACGAGTATACTGTACTGGTGACATAGTTTAATTATCTCGTATATTAGATTAAGACTAAATCGTAAATCATTTTGATCGTTATCGTGTGATTAATATTCGTACCTTTTTTTTTTCTTTTTTTTTTTCTTTTTTCTTTTTTTTTTATTTCCTTCTTTTCAAAGAATTTTCAAAATCACGGGATCGATTAGGTAATAATCGTAAGGGTGATGTTAAAATTGGAAATACAATTATGTCGCTTATTAGTACATGTGTATTGTCGTTATAGTTACACCTGAGAATTCATTGTCGCGCGGTTTTCAATTGTACAAAATTTATTGCCCCGATCTATCTCGTTCAAACCTCTCGTACAATCATCCCTCTCCTCCGTCCTTCCCCCCTCCCCCTCCCCCTTTCCCATCTCGCACCCCTTAACCCCTTTACCGCGATTCTCGCGTAAACGTGCAACCAGTGAAACGCATATGGCGCGTGTACGTTCGAAGGCACACGCTTTGCGATATTTTCGAGGCAGCTGTTTCTCGTAATTCATTGTAATTAACGATACCGATCGGTATATCGTTTCTCTTTTTCCTGCCTCGATCGAAACCGCGCGTTACAAGCGTAACAACGTTTTGCTCTTCCTGATACGTTTTAAATTCCTATTGGTCAGATCATTTTCAACATCATAAAGTCTGTTACGATCATTGCTAGTATTTTATTTATTTTTTTTTCTCTCTCTATCTCTCTCTCTCTCTCCTTTTTTTTTGTTTTTTTCTTTTTTTTATCTACTTCAACTCCACGTCAGCAAATTTTTCGTCAGCGATTCGACGAAAGAAAAAAGGAAAAAAAGGAAAAAAAAAGAAAAGAAAAAAAAACAGAAAGAAAGAAAAAAGACAAACAAAAAGAAGCCAAAGAAACGTTTTAATTTTTTTTTAATTAATCGCACTTCGATTAAGTGACAATTCGATTGTAAACGATCTATTTTATTCATCGTAACAACGTTTTGCTCTTCGTGTTACGCTTTAGATTTCTCTGTAATATCAGTGAATTTATAATATCTCCTACGACAATGTTAATGTTCTAAAATTTATGTTAGCAACCATGTTAATAATTTTCTATTACATACAATATCTATTATATTTTACATTAATTAACGGTACATTATTTATTACATTAATTCGAATATATTGATAAGCAAAGATTTTAATTTGTTCAACGATCAACTCAATTATACGTGAAATATCGTTCGTGAAATATATAAAAGGAAACGTATAAGAAGATGAAATATGTGAAGGTGAAAAAGGAAATAATAAAAAGGAAATAAAAAAAAAAAAAAAAAAAAAAAAAGAAAAAAAACAAGAGAAAGAAAAAAGAGAGAGAGAGAGAGAAAGAGAGAGAGAAAAGAAAAATACAAGATGTCTGGTAAGAAATCGCGTATTCGTTTAACGATACTCGTTTCCTACTTCGTCGTTGCTACTTTAAAACCTTACATTCATCGTATATTATTTTGCTTTCAAGCTCCCTTGTTCCTCCTCCTCCTCCTCCTCCTCCTCCTCTTCCTCCTCCTCCTCGTCTTCTTCCTCCTCGTCCTCCTCTCATCCTCTACCATCTCATCCTCTTCCTCCTTCTCTTACTCCTTCACCATTATTTCTCTTTTTGCATAGAGA